GTTGTCTCTCTGTGTCATGCGCTCTCCCGTCTATTGTCTAGTCCCACCCTCCTTGTTAACCCATAATTAGTTAATTATGTTCAACTGTTTGTGTGTTAATTTCCTACAGTTTATAAACCCCTCATGTCTGCTGTCCTGTGTGAGTTCGTCATCACATATTGTCGTGCCTGCCCAGTCAAGTTTGTTTGTTTGTTTGTTTATTTGTTTTATTAGTGTTTTCCCACTCTGGGTAGTTTATTTAGCATTTTATTTTATTTTTATTATTTAATAAAATCCTATTTACTCTGCGCTTGGGTCCTCGCTCCTTTTCCCCTCACCGAACGTGACAAATACAAAATGAAGCTCAGATTTGTTAGACGAGAGCCACAGAAGCCTCAAGATTTAGACACTCTGTTGAAGTCTGTGATTCACTCACACCTGAGCAGCGCATGTGACTTCATTAAACACATTTCAGTAGTTCAGCACTTTCTCCTTCACATTACACTGTTATTACACACAACTCATTTGTCAGATTTGTTTGTTTTGTTATATTTTTATGTTTGTATTGTTTGGGTTTATACCTAAATCTGGTTCAATGTCACGTCAACAGCTCCTTTAGAATACTTATTTCCCCCACTGTAGGCTTTTATGTCTGCCGTTGGTGCACGCTTGCAGCTTTTTGATTAGCCAGGAGGCTTTAAAAATTGGCAATAATCACATGCAATGATCGTCATCCTGGTGTGCAGGAGCTTTAACACCCACACTCATTATCCACACACTCCCACACAGCGCTTACTAAGACTCGCGCCCACACGTCATCAACAGCTCACACGTGCTCATCTACATGCACACACTCACCCACACACTCACCAGGCCTGAAATCACACAGAGGGCTGCACAGTCTGCGATCATCACATCACACACTGCAGCAACCCTGCAAGTGCAATTAAAACCACTACACACATCAGCGAACAGTAAAGCTCTGATATCTTAAAACCTATTATGCCCCTTTTTATAAGATTTAAAATGAATCTTTGATGAGTGTGTGTGTGTGTGTGTGTATGTGAAGTTTTAGCTCAAAATAGCACACAAATAATGTTCTCTGCTTCTCTGAAACTGACCCTTTTAGGTTTTAATCCTAATTGTGGCGTTTTGGTGACTGTTGCTTTTGCCTTGTTGATGAGGCCAGAGGTCAGAGGAGAATGGCCAGACTGGCTCCAGCTGATAGAAAGGCAACAGTAACTCAAATAAGCACTCGTTACAACCGAGCTCTGCAGAAGAGCATCTCTGAACACACAACACGTCCAACCTTGAGGCGGATGGGCTACAGCAGCAGAAGAGCACACCGGGTGCCGCTCCTGTCAGCTAAGAACAGGAAACTGAGGCTACAATTCACACAGACTCACCAAAACTGCACAATAGAAGATTGGAGAAACGTTGCCTGCTCTGATGAGTCTCTATTTCTGCTGACACATTCAGATGCTCGGCTCACAATTTGACCTTAACAACATGAAAGCATGGATCTTGTATCAGCGGTTCAGGCTGGTGGTGGTGGTGTAATGGTGTGGGGGAGATTTTCTTTGGGTCCATTAGTACCAACTGAGCATCAACGCCACAGCCTACCTGAGTATTGCTGCTGACCATGTCCATCCCTTTATGAGCACAGTGTCTCCATCTTCTGATGGCTACTTCCAGCAGGATAACGCAGCATGTCATAACGCTCAATCATGTCAGACTGGTGAACATGACGATGAGTTCACTGTACTCAAATGGCCTCCACAGTCACCAGAGCTCAATCCAATAGAGCAGCTTTGGGATGTGGTGGAACGGGATATTGGCATCATGGACGTGCAGCCGACAAATCTGCAGCAACTGTGTGATGCTATCATGTCAATATGGAGCAAAATCTCCGAGGAATATTTCCAGTAGCTTGTTGAATCTATAACATGAAGGATTAAGGCAGATCTGAAGGAAAAATGGGGGTCTAACCCGGTAATAGTAAGGTGTACCTAATAAAGTGGCCAGTGAGTGTATGTAACTTGACATACAAATTATGAAAGTGTATCAGCGAGCATTGTTATTTATTCCTTTGCGCCAGTCTTGCTTTGAGCACTTGTGAATGAAACGAACACAATTCTGCATGGCTCAAATAATAGCTTTGTTTATAAAGCAAAGGACACTAAACTGTGCAACATGCTGCCTATTTTACATGGCACCAATTTGATTTCTCACATCATGAATCCTTAGTAGTGCTGCCAAGTGCTTCTGTTCGGGTCAAATTACATAAACTTGACCAGCCGGTTTTTCCTTCGACACAATGAAACTGAAGTCTGCCTACTTAAGAATACAAACAGTGCTCGTGTGAAGCCAAAACAAACACTAGTTACTCTCATTAAGAGCTGTGCTTTATGAAAACTAAATCTTCAATTGTTGTTTTTCTAACATTTGTGCATGGGTGACACGGTGGCTCAGTGATTAGCACTGTCTGGTTCAAGTCCCGGCTGGGTCAGAGTGCATTTCTGTGTGGAGTTTGCATGTTCTTCTCATGTTTGTCGTAAGGGTGCTCCAGTTTCCCCACAGTCCAAACACATGCACTATAAGGGAATTGAATGTGAATGAGTGTGTATGGGTGTTTCCTAGTATTGAGTTGCACCTGGAAAAGGATCCGCTGTGTAAAACATATGTTGGAATAGTCGGCGGTTCATTCCGCTGTGATAAATAAGGGACAATGCACAACATTTGTGCATTTAGCAAATAACCTAATCGATATTTGTTAATTATACAGCCTTCAAAACTGTCATATTATTCATACTACAGGGCTGCTGAATGCTTGATTCTGATTGGCTGAGGAACATTCTAAGGTGTGCGGTTATTTTTAAATAAACATTACCGCATTACAGTGCTATTATATATATTATATCACTATTATTTCACTGTATGTGATTACAAAACATGTAAATATTCATTCATTCATTTTCTTTTCGGCTTAGTCCTTTTATTAATCAGGGGTCGCCACAGTGGAATGAACCGCCAACTTATCAAGCATATGTTTTACACAGCATATGCACTTCCAGCTGCAACCCATCACTGGGAAACATGTAAATATAGGTAAATAAAATGTTTTATAAGGCTAAAAGGTTTAGAAAGACAGTATTGATAAAAGTTAAAGCTGGAGATTCTTAATTATTTGTGTGTGTGTGTGTGTGTGTGTGTGTGTGTGTGTGTGTGTGTGTGTGTGTGTGTGTGTGTGTGTGTGTGTGTGTGTGTGATTATTTTAAAGTGGTGTATAAAGTTTTATAGCTGGTAAAATTTGACCATGCAAGCATTGTGCCCTAAATGTGTACAGACCTCATGAAAGCGAGAATAAATGGTTACTTTTTTTCTCATATCTGGGTAAAATGGCTAAAATTGATAGCCTGTCATTTTGACCTTTAAATCAGTAAAAGTGTTAAAGGTACAATTAACCCAAAAATGAAGAGTTACTCATTGTTCACTCACCCGCCCTACCCTCAAGTGTTTTAAACCCTGATGAGATTCTTCTGTTGAACATAAAAGACGATATCTTGAATACTAAAGCCACTGACTTCTTCAGTAGGAGAAACAAACACTAAAAAAGAAGTCACTGGTTTCTGACATTCTTCAAAATATCTTCTTTTGTGTTCAACATAAATGCTTGAAGCAAGTTAATGGTGAAATATCCCTTGTTAAACTATGACCCGTGTTGAAGAAGTCAAACTACACACAGGTGTTTACCTCTGCTCTGTGTACAGTACGTCAAAGATGCTGAGGATGTGTGCGTGTCAGTGGTTTTTGTGGTGTAAAAATGCTTTTATAGCTCGCGGATAAAGATTCCTTCTCACTATTTACTGTCTCTCCAGCACATTCATGAGTTTATTTCTTCTGTTGAATGTAAAAGCAGGTACTTTTTTAGAAATCTGAAAACCTTGATGACTTCCATAGCACGAAAAACAAATAATAGAAAAGAAGAAAATTTCCGACATTCTTCAAAATATCTTCTTTTATGTTCAACAGAAAAAAATAAAACTCTTAAGGGGTGAGTAAACTGAGTAATTGTTCATTTTTGTGTTGACTATCCCTTATAGCACCGGGTCATTTAAAAAAAAGAGGTCATAAACTCAGGGGCGCTCCCAAGGGGTGGCCAGGGGTGGCCACGGCCACCCTTGTGTAAACTCTGGCCACCCCTGTGGCCACCCCAATATGATAGTTGCTGATATTAATAAATAAATGAATAAATAAAATGCAGCCACTGAATTATTGTGGATTGATCAGCGCCACTGACGAAGCTGATTCACTGAGATTGCACACTTTTTATTAAGAAATTATTATTTTTGAAATGAGAAAGTTGTGTTTCATCTGATTGAAAACCACAAATCCAAAATAAATCACTAGATGCATTTTGAAATCTGCTTTTCAAAATTTTGTTGGGTTTTGTTTGGTTTATTAATTCATTCATTAATCATATTCATTATTCATAATTCATTAATGTTGGACATGGCATATATTGTATGTTGTACAAGAAATAACTTACCTGAAAGAGGTTTTAGACTAAATATTGATTTTTATTTGGTTTGCACTTGTACTTGCGGAATAAATTACAATATTTCAAGAGTAATTATTGGAATTCATTAAAACTTCATTATTTATTTTACCAAAAACAAAAATATAACATTACTCCTTATTCACAATATATACACAATTCATAATTTTTTTGTGTGCCAGCCCAAGATTTGTTGTGGCCTTACTTGGCCACCCCTAAGAAAATTTTCTGGGGGCGCCACTGCATAAACTACTACAGCAGGGCTGCTCAACCATGTTTCTGGAGATCTACCTACCTGCAGAGTTCAGCTCCAACCCTCTTCAAATACACCTGAACAGCGCTTGATGATTCTATTCCAGGCAGGTGTGTTTGAACAGGGTTGGAGCTGAACTCTGCAGGTGAGTTGATCTCCAGGAGCAGTTGGTCACCCCTACACTGCACACAGACAGAGAGAGATGCGTACCTCTCCTCCGTGTCCGTCGTAGATGCTGAATATGGCGGGGTGGCTGCGGTTGCGAGTGTCGGTGAGGATGTCGAAGCGGTCCTCCATGTGATCTCTGCGGCCCTGGATGGAGTAGACGGCCGCGGCGCCGCTCCGGAGCTGCCAGGTGTTGGAAAGCTGCTCCTCCGGCGGCCCGTCCCGCGGCAGCAGCGGCACCGGCAGCCCCGGCCCCGCCGCCCGGCCCCTCAGCATCTGCAGCAGTCCCTGCAGCTCGCCGGTGTGGAAGATGAAGCTCCAGAGCGCCAGACTGAAACCCAGCAGCAGCAGACCCCCGGGCCGCAGCAGCACACAGCGCAGGGTCCTGGCCAGCAGAGCCAGCGGACTCATCCTGTCCACACACACGCGCGCACACGGAGAAGCTGGACTAATGAGGGCTGCACATCAGAGGCTCCTGCACTCCTCACACCGCATCAATACTCGCTTATTCAGCTTCCGAAATCATCAGCATATCCTATTAATAACACGCGTATACGACGGCTTTCCCGTCAAAGGTGCTGAATTGCTTTCGTTTGGTCCTCCGACACGGCAGCACTGCGTGCAGGTGTTCTGTGTGTGCGCGCATGGCGCGTGCACTCAGCTCGGTGCCGCGCTCTCGTGCTGAAGTTTGTGATGCAGGGTTGCCAAGTCCGCGGTTTTCCCCCGCTACTTTTAAAGGGGGAGTTCACCCAAAAATGAAAATTCTGTCATCGTTAACAACAAACTTCTATTGTTACCAAACCTGTTTGAGTTTCTTTCTTCAGTTGAGTCTTCCATATTGTTTTTCCTACTATTGGAGTCAATGGGCCTACTATTTACCCTGGATCATTATTTTAATTTGTTTTAAAGCCTTGCTACAAGCCTGCCAAAACAGCACAAAACTATAAAATTAGGCTATCTTTAAAGTCTGATTGCCTCAAAACTCTTAATACTATTGACATATGAACACATACATATTGTTCGCTGTGTCTAAACTGAAAGGAAACAGAGACACTGGTTGTGTGATATGCAGGTATTAAAAAGCCAGCATACTAATAGACTCATTAAGGGATCCTTCACCCCAAAATTTAAATTCTGTCAATATTTGCTCTCTCTGGTGCCCATAATCTCTATTAATTTATTACTATTCATCTATTTGATCTTAATAAAACAGCAAATTATTTGTAAGGTAATGTGTATTTCTATAGCGCATTTAATGTGTATGGTCATACACCCAAAGCACTTTCACAATCATGAGGGGGGTCTCTCCACACCACCACCAGTGTGCAGATCCTCTTGGATAGCATAGGCATAGCCAGCAACATTACAGAAATGTCCAGAAAAACACCAAACAACATCCTCAAAATGGACCATTCACCTTCAGAAGTGTCACAATAGCGGAAAAGAAGACATTCCTCCATTTCATGCTGACTTTAATTAATTTTCTCAAAACACTATGCATGTCGGCTGTGCTGTCAAATTAAGGAAACATAGATAATAGAATGTTTATAATTATTAATATGCAGTTATTTATATATGATTTTATATATATATAAATTCATTTTCTTTTCAGCTTAGTCCCTTTATTAATCAGGGGTGGCCACAGCAGAATGAACCACCAACTTATCCAGCATATGTTTTACACAGCAGATGCCCTTCCAGCCGCAACCAAACACTGGGAAACACCCATATACTCTTGCATTCACACATACACTACGTACAATTTAGTTAATCAATTCCTCTATAGCCCATGTGTTTGGACTGTGGGGGACACCCGGGCAGAGAAACCCACGCAAACACAGGGAGAACATGCAAACTCCACACAGAAATGCCAACTGACCCAGCGACCTTCTTGCTGTGAGGCGAACATGCTACCCACTGCACCACCGTGACGCCTCAAACCAACGCATGCCTCCCACCAGTGCTGATTCACAGCCACATTACACTACTACTTGTGTGATATTGTGTGTGTGTGTGTGTGTGTATATATATATATATATATATATATATATATATATATATATATATATATATATATATATATATATATATATATATATATATGTTTTTTTTAACCATGTCTATGTATATAAAAGTGCTAGGTATATTAGTACTAGGTATAACTAGGTATATTTCTGCAATAGGCCTACTAGGCTAACTCTTTTTAGATTTATAATGTATTTCAGTTTGAATAATAAAAAACTGCTGCTGTCATGTTTTATTTCTCAAAGTATCACCACTTATAAATCTCAAAGATTATGCAACATTATGTTTTTGGGTTTTGTCTGCAGCTTTAAATCACCCATTTGAACCTAATTACCCTGTATTTACCGAGCCATCTTGTCAAAACCAGACTATTATCCTTGCTCATGCTTTACTGGGGTTTAAAATTAGAAAGATTTTCACTCAGTTCCCTCGGAGAATAACCATTTGTTTGTTTGTTTTTTCTCATTTACATTCAGGCGCAGTTCGGACAGCTATCGGGTGTTGTTATTTGTTTATTTATATTGTTTTAAAGAATTCACAAATAACAAATACAGAAAAAACAGACAAAACAAAAACTGCAAAGATGATATAAAAAACAAAAGAAAAATATAAGAAAAACGAAACGGAAGACGGTCAGCTGCAAGGGTCTTTTTTGACAACGTGTCGTGACGTCATCAACAGGCGCACACACACACGTGCGGAGTTCGTGTGATTTTCGCGAGGAGATGTTCATTTAGTTGAGTCGATCAACGCTGATTTAACAACACAGTGAGTATCGATCCAGTGTTTGTGTGTATAATAGTATAGTAATAACAATACTGGCGAAGATATCGAGAGCGTTATAGTCTTCTCACAACCATACTTCACACGTAATTACACCCATACATACATACAAAGAGTGATCTGTAAGTTAGCAATGGTGTATGTGTTTATCTGTCAGTGGATACATTATTTTAAGTTTATGACAGTGGTGACCAGTTCTGTTAGACTGATTATGCTTTATATTGTTAATGTCATGAATATGGAGTGAAGTTGGTTTTATATTCGCACTCTTAGACGTTCTTTCTAATAATATAGCGTTAATTTCAGAAAAGCATACTTGCAAATTCTAATAAATAGGAAAATCAGCAGCGAATGACTATTAAAGGACAACACTGTTGACAGTCAGTAAATAATGCTAATGTTGTTTTGAAGCGCTTACATGCGATTTCAGACCCAATATTATAAGTTTATCCTGATAAACAATGTAGGGAGCGTTAAAAGGAAACAAATGTGCGAATATAAAACAAACTCAATATATTATGAGTGTGATTAATGATGTTTGGGGTCTGTGTTGTTGCTGTTGTAGTCATGGAGTACATGCAGGCTCCGCCATCCAGCAGCCACGGCAATATGTGAGTATTCAACTTTTATAAGTACTGTGTTGTTATATTAATATTAGTATTTACTCTCCCTCAAGTGGTCGCAGATGTTTATGAGTTTCTTTTATTTCTGCCGAACCAAAAATAAACTTGAATTATTAATCAACAGCATCAGTTGAGATTTGGCTCCTACATATTGCTTTTTTTTTAATGTAAGGCATTTTTCAGTCATTCATTTTCCTTCGGTGTAGTCTCTGATTTATCAGGGGCCGCCACAGCAGAATGAACCGTTAACTATTCTAGCATATGTTTTAAACAGCGCATGCCCTTCCAGCTGCAACCCAGTACTGGGAAACACTCATACACACTCACACTTTGCTATCTGGACTGTGCCCAGGCCCGTTTCCCGGATCATTTGAGAAGTGCGTGTGCGCTGAATTGGGCTCAGGCACATTTCAGTTGGCCGGCCCTAGCGGTTCACTTGGGCAGTTCACTTGGGCTAAGCGCGCCTGAGCCCGTAACTGAAGACGAGACGTGACTTTTAAGGGACTGTTTCATATTGATTTATTAATCATTATTAATGTTCAATAAACACAAACCATCGTAGATTATTAAAGACACAAACCCCTCACTGCACGACAGCTGCACCTTCAGCAAACCTCCTAAATCCTGCAGCACGAGGCAATAATCTCAGCTACACAGAAATTGGGAAAAAAATAAACGGGGGCGAATAATTCAGGGGGCTAATAATTCTGAATTCAACTGTACATATTGTCATTATTATTATTTATATATTTTAGCTTGTGTATTATTTATTGCTGAATTTAAATTGTTATGATATTGTTATAACTATAGAAATTGTGTTTATTTTATTGTTATAAATATAGTGGTATTTATAAAATGTGGTAAACTTGATCTGTTTTTGTTTTTGCCATGACATAGCTAAAGAAGCTGAAACCGCATTAATCTCGAAATTCTCTCTCCCTCATTGTCTTACTGTATTTCTGTTTATCTGTATGCTTTTTTCAGTCTTTGCTGTACGTGTGGCGTTCCCATTCCTCCAAACCCAGCCAACATGTGTGTCTCCTGCTTGAGGACTCAGGTGGACATCTCTGAGGGCATCCCCAAACAAGTGACCATCCATTTCTGCAGGCAGTGTGAACGGTACGCTCTGTTTCTGTTAGCCATGGGCCGGTGTACGATTCTGACGATACAATAACCTTGGATAAAATGATCACGGTTTCACGGTATTGTGATTACTGCTCTAAAATCTGTTCTTTTCACATGTCTGGATAAGAAAAAAACGTTTGCCTGTTAAACAGATTCTATTTGTTTTTAAGTATTTCTAATATTTTGGAGCAGTGAACATGTCAGGCTAAATAATTAGAATAAATCATTGCCTTTTGCTGTCTTCATTAGTATCAAAAACACAGATTTCTTTGCAACCTTAAAAGGCAACTTGGCATATCTTTTATTTTTGGATATACAGTAAAGTCACTGTACTGCTCAGCTCTACAGCATGCTGGATGTTGGTTTATAAGTGACTTGTTTTTTAAATGATAGCTTTTTCTGCTGCTGGAGATAATGTTGCCCTAAAAAAACAAATTAAATAGTCATGAAAAACACACACACACACACACACACACACACACAAAATTACATATACCGTAAGAACAGTACAACAGAAAATATGAGCTGTTTAAAACACCCGGTTCCTTCCGGTACACGTAGGGCCCTATCATACACCCGGCGCAATGTGGTGCAATGCAATTGTTATTTGCTACTTTCAGCTTGGCGCAAGAGTCGTTTTGAGGTGTTGCACCACGCTGTTTAAATAGCAAATGCATTTGCACTTATATGTGCGCCCATAGGCGTTCTGGTCTAAAAAAAGCAGGCGTGTTTTGGCGCGTTGCTATTTTGAGAAACTATAAGTCTGTTTTTTAGACCAGAACAAAGCCGGTCTATTGTCTGGCGCAGAGCGCGCCTAGCTTACACACTGCTTAATACACACACGATGTAGAGCAATACGCAAATATCTTTACATAAAAAAAGAATTTAAATATTACGATATATATATATAGGATATAATAAGAATATATATATATATATATATATATATATATATATATATATATATATATATATATATATATAGGATATAAATATAAAGAAATTAAACATTACAAAACATTATTTTCTAGCCTACATGAGTTTAAAAACCACTGCCTTCATACTTTATTCATCTCGGGAGGCCTTTTCAGTTCATTCAATTTGCTTTTGTATAATGTTATTATTATTAGCAGTATTATTTATAATATCCATATTTATATTTGTTTTATTAAAAACAAGCTTAGATTTGTCCACCTGTCAGGTTTTAGACCATATGGGGCACAGCATGTGTTTTAGGATGTAACTCAGGTTTTTGAGCACACTTCATTATTATTGTTCATTTATTCGTTTGCTGGAAATTAGAACTGAATTTAGAAATAGTTTTGAAATGAATATTTGCGCTTAACAAACTAAATTATTTATTTATAGGCTAATTGATGTCTGTGCGTAAAGGTTTCCCTATCCAAGAGTGAAAGTGAAAGTAGATCATTTATCGCTTATTCTCACGCGGTAGATGCTCTGTTTAACTGTTTTCTTGCTCATTTTTTCCACTTACACTTACTTTACGTCATGTAAATAGCAAATGCACCATGGCGCAACGCAGCAGACTCTTAAAGGGAATGGGAGATGAGACTCTGATTGGTTTATTCTCAAAACACACCTATAACTCATTAAAAAAATAAACTCAACCCTTTTAGACCATGCGCCGAAGCGCAAAGCGGATTTTCCCGTCCTTAAATGAGCAAAAATACGTTCTGACACGCCCTGAAAGCGTTTTGCGCTCTGCGCATGGACCGTCAAAATAGAGCCCATAGTCTTTTTTTGGGGTGGATTTTCACTTTTTCCTCTGGGTGTTTTGTCAGGTACCTGCAGCCTCCGGGGTCGTGGGTTCAGTGCGCTCTGGAGTCCAGAGAGCTTCTGGCTCTGTGCCTTAAGAAACTCAAGGCCTCCATGTCAAAGGTCAGTTACATACAGAAACATCACCACATTTTATAACGATATACAGTATTATCAGAATTTTGATCTAAGCTGCAAAAAAAGGATGCTTTATCAGATATATTAATACAGATATAATAATAATAATAAAGTTAGTGTATTGCTGTATTGTCTTTACATCTAGGGTGATGGGTAATGTGCTGTGAGTTCACAATGAACGACTTTTGCAAACATTTTAGTTTAAGTATTTCACACTTAACTTTATTTCCATTAACAAAGATGAACAAATACGGTAATTAATGTGTTGTTTATTGTTTGCACATGTTAGAAAATACATGAACTGCTAAATGCTGGTCTTCATTTATTACCATCCAGGTGCGGCTTATTGATGCTGGCTTCTTATGGACCGAGCCCCACTCTAAGAGGATCAAGATCAAGCTGACCATCCAGAAGGAGGTGTGTGGATATACAGATCAAGTCTGAATTATTCACCCTCCTGTATATTTTTCTCCTTAAATTCTGCTTAGCAGAGAGCCGATCTCGTCAACACATTTCTAATCATAATAGTTTAATAACTCATTTCTAATCACTGATTTATTTTCTCTTCGCCATGATGACAGCACATAACATTAGACTATAGATATTCTTCAAGACACTAGTGTTCAGCTTAAAGTGACATTTAAAGGCTTCACTAGGGTAATTAGGGTAAAGTTAGGGTAATTAGGCAAGTCATTGTATACAGGGGCGCAACTGCACATGTACTGATGGTTATGCGGCTTCAACTTTTGCCCCCCCCCCCCCCCCCTCGATCAAACTATATTTTATAACAGGCAAGTGATAAAATGTGGACAATATTTCTGTCAATAAATTAAAGATATTTTTTCATAAAGATATCAATATGCTTCAAAAATACAGTTTCACATTTCTGAACACAACTGAAATAGTATGAAGTAGTAAAAGGTATAATTACATTAAGCATGTTAAGTCGCAAAGAAATGCATCTCATACCAGCCCAAATTTCTTTTCAATTTAATTTTCCCTCACTAAAAGATTATAGCACCTTGACTAGCCTTGCTTTTGCTTTTTGTACTACATTTGTCAAAACAAAATGATAGACATGGTAGTCCTAAAGGGCAAAAGAACATTGCAATTACTTCTCACATGCATACTGTGAGGAGTGTAAGGTCTGTCTTTGCAAGAACAATTGACTGAAACTGCTAAAAGTGAAATAAAAAAGACTGTCAAATGTTTAGTGTAAAAAAACAGAAACAAACTGTGAAATGTTCTATTTAATTGAAATGTTATGACTTTGTTTGTAGCTAAAATTAAAATAGTTTTGAGCTAAGAAGTTACCAAAAGGCCTGATGAATTAATATGATACATAATAAATTCATAAAAACATGTATGTGGTATGAAAAATGGGGGGAGGGGTGGAATGATTTTTTAATTTAATAAAATACAATATTATACGCGTATAAAATGCTAAATAAACATTTTAACAAAAAAAATATATATATTATTTGAAACTTTTAATATGGATAATTTCAAAAATAGTTTTGGCACAATGGCGCCCCCAGTGTTTGGCGCCCCTATGCGCCGCATATACTGCATACCCCCTTTTTGCGCCACTGATTGTATAACAGTGGTTTGTTCTGAAGACAATCCAACACTAATATTGCCAATTTACAGGAGAGCGAATAATTCTGCCCTCAACTTCAGCTGTGATTCCCTTTAATACACTTTTTACTGCTGTGTTGCATTGCAGTCGCAAGATCTTAAAAGAAAATGCGATTACAGTAGTTGATTAATTGATTATTACAGTAATCCATAGCTGCAGGCCTAGTGCCAAGCTTTACAAACTCGACTGATAAGAGATCTAAATGTAGAAAGTGTTTGGTTCTAATCTAAATGCAGATGTAGCGCCGCTTCAGTGTTTGAGTCGCTCTGCTGTGCCCGCAGGTCATGAACGGAGCCATTCTGCAGCAGGTTTTCACCGTGGAGTTCGTGGTTCAGGGTCAGATGTGTGAGGACTGCCATCGTGTGGAGGCCAAAGACTTCTGGAAAGCTGTTGTGCAAGTCAGGCAGAAGGTGTGTGTGTGTGTGTGTGTGTGTGTGTGTGTGTGTGTGTGTGTGTGTGTGTGTGTGTGTGTGTGTTTGTGTGTGTGTGTGTGTGTGTGTGTGTGTGTGTGTGTGTGTGTGTGTGTGTGTGTGTGTGTGTGTGTGTGTGTGTGTGTGTGTGTGGCTGGGGGTCTAAAAAGGAGGGATAAATCACTTTTATAAGGGATTTAAAGGCATAGCTCACCCATATATGAACAGTTCCTGTTGGTTTACTCACCCTCAGGTCAGCTAAGATGGATGTGGCTTTTGTTCGTCAGTAGAATATTGAAGATTTTGAGTGATTCGTGTAATATAGTGAATAGTGGAACAATCGTGAGATGGTATATTGTTGTATTTAATTGTTGGATGGTTCTTATTTTATTTCAGATTTTTTATTTGTTTTCAATTGTTGATTTTAATTGCTTTATGGCTAGAAATAGTTGTAGCTGTGCTATTGATATTAGTTTTAAGAACTCTTTGTTTTGCGCTGTATTGTTGTTTTACAAATTATTAGTGTGACTGCACTACCTGACATAAGTCTTGACGTCTATCCAAGTTTTAGGAACACAAATAATAACTTCTAGTTGATCATTTGGTGTCAGAAGTGTCTCTATGAAAGGTGAAGGCCTCTAGATTTTGCTGATTTGAGCTCAATAAAATCTGATCATGCCTTGATTATTAATGATTTGATTAGGACAGTGCGGTCTGACTCTGCTCAGGCTAAAGTCTCATCACTGAACAGGAATAATGTCCAGTATAGAATATAAAGTCCTGCTGCAGTGGAGACAGAATGAATATTGTGTCTGACTCCATCATGAGCTTGGAGGACTGCATCCATACATCTCTGACATGACTCACATCACTGATTAATAAAGTCATCTGGAATGGTGAAGAAAGCGTTCAGCAGGACTCCCAGAGCTCATCAAGACTCTTTGTGTTCATCTTCAACGCCTCCTCCATCTTATGCTCAATAATGTGCATGTCTGGTGACTGGGCTGGCCAATCCTGGAGCACTCTCTGCTTTCAGGAGTTTTGATGTGGAGGCTGAAGTATGAGAAGGAGCGCTATCCTGCTGGAGAATTGTCCCTCTCCTGTGGTTTGTAATGTAATGGGCAGCACAAATGTCTTGACACCTCAGGCTGTTGATGTTGATCATCCACTCTGCAGATCTCTCGCATGATGAACCCCAAACCATGATTTCTCCTTCACCAAACTTGACTGATTTCTGTGAGAATCTTGCTCCATGCTGGTTCCAGTAGGTCTTCAGCAGTATTGGTGATGATTGGGATGCAGATCAGCAGATGATTCAGCAGAGAAATCCACCTTCTGACACTTTAACACATGATCAACTAGACGTCAAGTTATTATTTGCTGCTCTTACAACTGTGATCCACAACAAGACTTTTGTCAGGCAGTGTATACAGCCTCAGCATTGCACTAATATTATTTTTGCCTTTCAGACTGTCCACAAAAAGACATTTTACTACTTGGAGCAGCTGATTTTGAAGCACAAGCTGCATCAGAACACAGTGCGCATCAAAGAGATTCATGGTATATCACCACCACCACCACCATCATCATCATCATCATCACCATAGTTTTTCACAATGTAAAATCAAGCAGTGCACTTAATTAAATTGAATGAGTTCTTTTTTTTAAATGATTTATACCAACTGTGCAGATTTGTAGTTCCCAGCATGCTTTGTTTCAGCCGAACATAAATGTAAAAGAATTGTGTTATTTGCACATAATTAAAAAAGGAGACATCATTTAATGAGGGTTCTGTAAAAATCTAATTGTAAAACTCCTATCTTAGTTTACAGATCAGGTTAAGTCAACAAAACTTTAAAGGTTCAAGTAAATATTTTTAATGTATTAGTAAGAAATAAAAGCTTAATATAATTAAGTTAAAATTACTCAGTTAAATTAAGGCAATGTGTTTGCGCAGTTCAGTTGAGTAAACTTCATTGAAACAAATTCATTTTTACAGTGCCGTCTGTTCTTGATTTAATATTGATCTCTGTTGTGTGTTTTCAGAGGGAATCGATTTTTACTATGCCACTAAGCAGCACGCTCAGAAGATGGTGGATTTCCTGCAGTGCACTGTTCCCTGCAGGTCTATTTTATTATTATTATTATTATTATATTATTATTATTTTTATTATCATTATACTATATTATTATTTTTTATCATTATATTATTATTATTATTATTATTATTATTATTATATTATTGTTTTTATTATTATTGTTATATTATTATTATTATATTATTATTATGAATATACTAATTATATTATTGTTTATTATTATTATTTTATTATTAGTAATATTATTATTGTAATTATTATTATTATTATTATATGTTATTATTATATTATTGTATTATTATTATTATATTATTTCTATTATTATAGTTTAATAGAAAGTTAAACTATAGTTAAATAGTTTAATAAAAGTTGTTTCTATTATTATTTTATTATTAGTAATATTATCATTTTTATTATATTATTATTTTTATTATTATTATTATATGTTATTATTTTATTATTATTTTATTATATTATTATTGTTATGTTATTATAATTTTATTTCTATTATTATTATATATTTTTTATTTATTATTATTATTAATATATTATTATTGTTATATTATTATTATTATTATTTAGTTTTCGTTTTCTACTCCTGTGCTGTTGGAAATCAAAATGGGTGTTTTCTGTTCTGAAGCTTCTATCTAATTTATAAACACAAGCTGATCTACATTTCCTTATAGGTTTTAGGTTTGATGACTATATATATTTATATATTCATATATAATATATTAAATTTAACTATATATTATCTATATTTAACAGATTAATTTAGATGAATCTGTTTAGAATAATGTGTATTTGGTTGCAGTATACTTTATGGTGACCTATTATGTTCCTTTTTACAAGATGTAAAGTGCATCTCTGATGTCTCTAGAGTGTGTGTGTGTGTGTGAAGTTTCAGCTTAAAACACCACACAGATAATGTTTAAAACTCTCTGAAGCTGACCCTTTTAGGCTTTGATCCTAATTGTGGTGTTTTGGTGTCTGTCGCTTTAAATCCGAATGAGATTGTGCTTTTTTCAAAAGAGGGCGGAGCTACAGATACCCGTGTGTCAGCATAGTGGCAGATTTAAAAACAAGACTAACGTCCTATGCTAGTCTGGTTTCAGTCCTGTCAATGACGAATGTTTTGTTCAAATGTTCAGATTAATTTATGGGTGAACTTTTAACTTTTGATTTAAATTTATAGACATTTTAGATTGATTGATTAATTCAAAGGCTAGTTATGTGTAGATAGTTTAAAGGGAGGTTTTTTAGTACAAAGTTTGGGTAAACAGGATATTAACTTGTGCAGTTTTCATATTCAAGACATGTTAAAATATAAACACAGTGTAAATGCTGTATAAGCTGACATATAAGAGCTTTCTTTAAAGTACAAATGAAATTAAAACTAGCCATGTTGATGTTGTTAGCTTGTATTGCTAGTTTGGTGCTGAACAGTTCATCTGTGCATGTCATTAAGAACAAAAAAAAACATGCTTTGCCTTTGTAATCTTTAATTAAAATCTGAGAATGCACTTCCTGTTTGTGTTCAGCTAAATTGTTAGATTCGTTCTGTCTGAGGTAGTGGGTGTGGCTATCACACTTAACCACGCCCCTCCTGCTGTCAGTTTTGACATCAAACATTAGTGGTGAGCAGGAGGAGTCTGTCAGGTTGTAATAACTCTCCCCAAACCCTTTTCCCCATCTTTCTGAAAGAAACGCCTACTTTCACTACATCCAATCATCTCGCAGTAGAAAAACAAGCCACGCCCACTGCTTTCTCATTTAATATTCTGTTTCTTTAGAAACTGCATCACAAAATGAAAAGAAGAACGACCGCAGCGTCCAGTTCATGCAGACTGTAAATTACAGAAGCACTGATACGATTACACGTCTGTGGTCATGATCTGTTTGAAAGAGTTGTTGTTGATCTATTAAACTAACTGTGAATGTCGTCTCTAAAGGTCAAAGGCGTCCCAGCGGCTGATCTCTCACGATGTTCATTCAAACACCTACAACTACAAAAGCACCTTTTCTGTGGAGATAGTTCCTGTGTGCAAGGTAAACGCTTTTAATGCTGTTTTTAATTATTAAATCCTCGATGCTAAGAGAGCTGATATCTGTGTTATGTTAACCATGGTGTCAACAGAGATGCAAACTGAAATTTGCCATTTTAATTTAATACATTCAGAGTGTGCGCAGGGTCTTAAATAGTAGCAGCAGTTGATGAATCCATTTAGAGAAATCGAAGGCTCTTAGAAAAACTTAAATGCTGTTTTACAAGGTGTTGAATTGAGTATTATTTTTGATTATATTATGTACACCACAGTCTTGTTGTCGATTCCGGTTTTAAAAGCAACAAATAATAACTGGTCTTCTAGTTGATCATTTGTAAAAGTGGCAGAAGGGGAATTTCTCAGAATCATCTGCTGATCTGCATCCCAATCATCACCAATACTGCAGAAGACCAACTGGAACCAGCATGGAGCCAAGATTCTCACAGAAATCAGTCAAGTTTGGTGGAGGTGACATCATGGTTTGGGGTTCATCATGCGAGAGATCTGCAGAGTGGATGATCAACATCAACAGCCTGAGGTATCAAGACATCTGTGCTGCCCATTACATTACAAACCACAGGAGAGGGACAATTCTCCAGCAGGATAGCGCTCCTGCTCATACTTCAGCCTCCACATCAAAGCTCCTGAAAGCAGAGAAGGTCAAGCTGCTCCAGGATTGGCCAGCCCAGTCACCAAATAGGAACATTATTGAGCATGAAGGAGGAGGCATTGAAGGTGAATCTAAAGACTCTTGATGAACTCTGGGAGTCCTGCTGAACGCTTTCTTCTTCATTCCAGATGACTTTATTAATCAGTGATGTGAGTCATGTCAGAGATGTATGGATGCAGTCCTCCAAGCTCATGATGGAGTCAGACACAATATTCATTCTGTCTCCACTGCAGCAGGACTTTATATTCTATACTGTTTATATTACTGTTATATATTATTTCTGTTCAGTGATGACACTTTAGTCTAAGCAGAGTCAGACCGCACTGTCCTTATTAAATCATTAATAATCAAGGCATGATCAGATTTTATTGAGCTCAAATAAGCAAAATCTAGAGGCCTTCACCTTTCATATACGCCACTTCTGATAACAAATGATCAAATAGAGGTCAAGTTATTATTTGTTGTTCCTAAAATTTGGATAGACAACAGAACTTGTCAGGTAGTTTATAGCTGCATCCTAATGTTTGCCTGAATTTAGTCTGTGAATATTGAGCTGCTGTTTGTATTCAGTACATGAATGAATGTTTTATGTTGGGTGGAGGTTTTATGTAGCATAATTTCACAAAAACAGTTAAAATTATTCAATCTATTTAAAGCACAGTCTGCCCACACTAATATGTGTTGAGTCTTTGTGTGGATCATCATGAAAGAGCAGTTTTTGCCTCAGCATGTAATAAGAGCAGATACATTTTTAAAAAGCCACATACTCATTTCTATATTTTTTTTCTGGTTTCTAAAATATGGAATAGTCCAATTTGCTAGTAATAAAAATTTGCAGTCGGCCTTGCAGTCAATCAATATCAATCAATGCATCAGTCTCTTTATAGATGAATGTGTTAAATTGTATTAAATGGAAGTCTAAAGCTCCACAAAGTTTTTTTGTTACTGGTCTAGTTATTTCTTTGTATTTCTCTCTCTATTAGGAAATTTCATAGAGGTAAATATTTCTCATTTTTTGTTTCCGCCCTACAGAGTTATAATGCATTGATAAGGAGTCATCACAAGCTATGACTCTAGTTGCGCTTTCTTACGATCAGTATTACTTCCTTCTTAAGGTGTGAAACGAGTAAAGGAAGAGTATGTGATGACAGAATAAACATTTTAGGTGAACTGTACCTTTAACACAGGGCATATGGAATAATCTTGCCACACAGACAGTGCAGTATCACCATAAATTGATTTCACACATTTATTATGAATTTCAGGATAATGTGGTGTGTCTGTCTCCACGGCTCGCTCAGAGTTTGGGAAACATGGGTCAGGTGTGCGTATGTGTCCGAGTCACCAGCTCCATACACCTGATCGACCCAAACACCTTGCAGAGTGAGTCCTCTTTTATTTCTATAGTGCTTTTTTACATTGTAGATAAAATAGATTTACATCCATCCCAAAACAGAAAAAGTTGGGGGCCGTATGGAAAATGCAAATAAAAAAGAAAGTAGTGATTTCTAAATTTACTTTGACTTGTGTCTCAGTGCAGACAACATGACAAACATTAGTTAATGTGCTCCTCATGATTTTCTTTTTTAATTAACACATTCCAATTTTGGTTCTTGCAACACATTTCAAAACGTTTAGGGACTGAAGACACCAAGTGGTGAAGTGTTTCAGGTGTAATTCTGTCCCATTATTCCTGCTAACAAGTCTTAAGGTGGACAACAGTACTGGGTCTTTATTGTTGTATATTACGCTTCAAAATGTGCCACACATTCTTTATTGGGGACAGGTCAGGACTGCAGGCAGGCCAGTCAAGTACCTGTATCCTCTTCTTCCACAGCAAGACTCTGTAATGTGTGCAGAATGTGCTTTTGCATTGTCTTGTTAAAATATGCATGAGCGTCCCTGGAAAAGAGGCCAGCATATTGTGCTCCAAAATCTCTCTGTACTTTTCAGCATTAATGTGCACCACAGAAGTGCAAGTTACCTTTGCCAAGGGCACTGACACAAGCCCATACCATGACAGAGCCTGGCTTTTAGACTTGTTGCAGGTATCAGTCTGGATGATCCTTTTCTTCTTTTTTCCAAAGCACACTGTGTCCATTTCTCCCCAAAAATACCTGAAATACTGATTAATCTGACCACAGTACATGTTTCTACTGTGTGATGGTGCATCTCAAACTCCTTCTGCCCAAAGAAGTTGACAGTGGACACTGTTAACATAGGGCTTCCTTTTGGCACAGTAGAGTTTTCACTGTCATTTGTGGATGTAACTCTGTATTGTGGTACTTGATACAGGTTTGCAGCAGTATTCCTGAGCTCATGTGCTGATCTGGCTTATAGATGAATGAGGATTCTTGATGCAGCGCCCCCTGAGGGATCGGAGATCACAGTTGTTCAGCTTGGGCTCGCGCTCTTGTCCTTTACACACTGAAATTCCTCCTGATTCCTTGAATCTTGTAATGATGTTTAGCACAAGTTAAAGCTGAAATATCCAAATGTCTTCCTCTCTTTCTCTGAGGAACATTGTTTTTAAACATTTCAATCATTTTCCCATGTATTTGTTGGTAAACCTCGGCCCATCTTTGCTCCTAAAGGACTAGACCTTTCCTGGATGCTGCTTTTGCACCAAATCATAATTTCAATCACCTGTTGACATCACCTGTTTCACATCACATCATTATAATCAAATAAATTTACCTGATTTCTAGCCCTAAACTGTTCCTTTCACAACCTTTTTTGGAGTGTGTTGCAAGAACCAAAATTGGAATATGTGTTTATTAAAAAAAAATAATAATAAGTAACAATAAAAATTCATGAGGAACGCGTTAATGTTTGTAGAAATCATAATTTTTATTTTTATTTGCGTTTTCCATACTGTCCCAACCTTTTCTGGTTTGGCGTAGTATAATATACCCTGTAGTCGTAGAAAATTACAGTATTGAGTGGTTTGTTTATATTACTATAGTTGTTGTGTTAAAATAAGAAACAGTCTGAATGGAGTATACACTAACCTGCGCATTATTCAGATGGTGCCAAACAGTCAAATACTGCAGTGTTATAAACAAATATGTATGTGGACATATTCACTAAAAGTCGAGATGATTCTCAGTTAACAGAGTCTCTGTTATTCGATGGTTGTTATCTGGAAATAACACACCTTGAAATGTCACAACTGACCAATCAGAAGAGAGTATTCCAGACAGCCGTGTAATAATCTGCGATAACAACCTCCTGGATGTCTTTATCCCCAGCATAAAGAATGACTGAGTGAATGTGTGTGTGTTTTCAGTTGCTGAGGTGGATGGCAGCACGTTCTGGCGTCACCCATTCAACAGTCTGTGCAGCCCACGCCAGCTGGAGGAGTTCATCATCATGGACATTGACATCATCAGAGATCAGCGCTTAGGAGCGGGTGCTGGACTCAAGTCCAATAAGGTCAGAGGTCAATGTGTGTGTGTGTGTGTGTGTGTGTGTGTGTGTGTGTTTTTGCAGTACGAAAATGCATTGTGTGTGTTTGTGTTTGCAGCACACTCTGGCGGAGGTCTGGGTTCAGAAGACATCAGAGATGGACTCCAGTCATCAGTATCACTGCAGAACCTTCATGGGTCATTTGCTGAACATTGGAGATCTGGTGCTGGGGTGAGTTTGTACACACATCACCTCATACATATCAAACATCATCCAAACACACTGATCTTCATAACTGACTCACTTTTGATTTGACTCCAGCTTTGATTTTGCCAATGCCAATATCAACGACGAGTTCCTCAATAAGATGAACCCTCAGCATGTTCCTGATGTGGTAAGACACTCTAGTGCTTCTTCATTTTACTGTGCCTATACTTGTGCATGGACCAGTATTAATACAGTGGCTCTAAAATATTTAGTTTTTTTTGTGATCACATTAAATCACAGGAATTATTCAACATGCTTCCACTGTCACAAAAGATATCAACTGACTGAGATTTCCATTAATACTCCTAACCACCCTCTATTGGCGAAAAATGAAGGAAAAGAAAACAGACACATACATACAATAAATAAAAAAAATATATAAATAAATTAATTAAGATAAATAAATAAAATGGAATTAAATGTCTAAATGAAAATAAAGTAAATTTAGTTAACTAAATAAATTACAAATAAATAATTGAATGAAAATAAATAAAAAAATGAAAAATAATTTAAATATAATAAGCTAAATAAAATAAAGTAAAATTAACTAAAATAAAAATTGATAACTAAATGAAAAATAAAAAATATTAATGTCAATTAAATAAATAAAATACAAATAAATAACTAAATGAAAATAAATAAATGAAATTGAAAAATAATTAAAATATAAGAAGCAAAATAATTAAATAAATAAAATAAAGTAAAATAAATAACTAAAATAAAAATTGATAACTTAATGACAAATATAAAATTATTAATATTAGTTAGATAAATAAAATACAAATAAATAGCTAAATGAAAATAAATAAATAAAAATGTTAAATAATTAAAATATAATAAGCTAAATAAATAAATAAAATAAAGTAAAATAAATAACTAAATGAAAAATAAAAAATAAATAATATCAATTAGATTAAATTTAAAAAATAAAATACAAATAAATAACTAAATGAAAAAAGCTAAAAAAAAATTAAAAGATTAAAAAAAAACTAAATAACTGAATGAAAATAAATTAAAAATAAATTAGGCTAAATAAATAAATATAAACTAAATGAAAACAAATGAAATAAATAATTAAAATAAATTAAGTTAAATAAATAAATAAATAAAAATAAACAATTAAATAAAAATATATAATTAAATTAATTAAATAAGAAAACTGAAAATAAATAATTAAATGAAAATAAATAAGAACACAAAAGAAGTAAAAAAATTGTCTGCACATGTCTTATTACAATAAAACTTTAAAAAGAAAATACAACGGTTTTGACAAAAAGGTAACAAATAAAATATTTTGACTCTTAAAGGAGCTTGAACATCATTGGACAAGATGACTGTGATGTTAAAAAATCGACTTTATGTTTTGTGTTATGTAACTGTTTATCTGATGGTATGAGTTGGTCAATTGCTATAGTCGGTTAATTTTAGGCTTGACAAAATTAAGTGAAAGCTAAGCTGCTGTGATTGCTGGCTCCACTGTTTTAGCCACAGGAATGCATTGATCATGATTGCTGGTGTTCAGGTGCTGATCAAGAAGAGTTACGACCGCATGAAGAGAGCCAGAAAAAGAGTCTGGAAGCTGAAAGAGATGGACAGAGAGAAAGACGCTGCCGATACAGATGATGAGAGGTCAGTCAGAGATTATTAGTGATGTTTCATACCAACAATTTCTTTTCCAATCCGATAATGAGTGATACTTTGTGTAAATACCACTAATGTGTCTCTGAAGTATGTTGAGTGAGTGGCCTCATTTACATGTCAATCATTTGATACCAGCGATTTCCTTTCCGATCTAATATGAGTGAAATTTAGGATGATATCGGTAATACAGATATGATACCGATATGGTACTGATGCAATACTGATACTTTGTCCAAATACACCCTAATATGTCTGGTAAATCAAAAAAGTTGTGCATTTCAAATCATACCCTCATAAAAAATACAAAAGAGTAATTAATTAATTTGTTTATTTATTTTGAACACTAAAGTACATAGCGTTAGCGGCCACATTTACATACCAATGATTTGATACTAACGATTTACTTTTCAATCGGATATGATTGAAATTCAGGCTGATATCGGTGATACAGATATGATACCGATTTAGTACCGATACGATACTGATACTTTGTGCAAAATCCATATTGTGCCTGGTAAATCATATATATATATGTTTGTATATATATGTGTGTGTGTGTGTGTGTGTGTGTGTGTGTGTGTGTGTGTGTGTGTGTGTGTGTGTGTGTGTATATTTTATTATCAATACTAATTTTTAGACCAAATCTGCAATTTGGCTACCAATTATTAAGAACTACTATTATAAAGGAAAAGGAAAACTATTTTCGACAAGCTCTAAATAGTTTAGTTTCTTTCCATCGTGTTTCAATTACAAATATTTATTACCCCAAATGACTGCAGTTTTAAATATATTTATGTTTTGAACAGAGAATTGATCTTAGAGCATAAATATGTGATTTATATTATATTATATTATATTATATTATATTATATTATTAGGTGTGTCACAATTTATGCTCAATTTCGATTATCGAATCAAAAAATAGTATCGTCGATGCTGCCACGTCCCCATGTCACGTCAGCTTGGCTTGCCAAGCGGGAAAGAAACAGGCTTGTTGAAGTGCTTGTTAAACTGCAGAAGCAGGAGACCCGTCGACAGAGCTTAAACCCTCTCCTCTTTCAATGAAGTCGCCGGTGTGGAAGCATTTTGGATTTCCAGTGAGTTATGTTGACAACGTTCGTGTTGTCGACAAAAAAAAACAGTTTCACAAGCTCTGCTATGTACGTATTACGTACGGTTCGTCTGATAGACAACACCGGCATCGCGATCCTCCGGCCGCCCCCGTTGCAAATCCACTTGCGAAAAGTTCACACTCAGGCCCTGTTTACACTGTCTTTGTTTTTAAATGGCATTTTAGAACGACAACGATTTGACATCCACAGTGGCGTGTAGCATTTCTGAGCAGCCCTCCTTCCTCTCTACCTCTGAAAATGCACATCACGTGACCACACACACACAGACGCACACGCAGCCATGCGCTGGAGGCAGCAGGTCCAGGCAGTCAGAGGACTGCTTCAATCTTTCACTCACTTGTACTTAGTCATTTTAGCGAACACCTCAGATACTGTTGGCTGGTTCCTGTTGGTTGTGCCTCTTTTTTACCGACGCCATTATAACGACACAGATCACTGCCTATTCACGAGTCCCGCAGAAAAAGTGATTGACAGGTGGTAATTATGTGTGTATCTTGCCTTTATTCATTTACTGTATGATTTGTTTATGGGTAAAACAAAGACCATGCAGGTCAGGTAGTTTAAACGGTAGGCTACAAATAATTAATTGGTCATTAAATAATTAATTATTCATAATCCAATCGTGACTTTAGAATCGAAAATGTAATCGAATCGAGGATTTGGAGGATCGTGACACCCTTATATATTATATTATATTAAATTATATTATATTATATTATATTATATTATATTATATTATATTATATTATATTATATTATATTATATTATATTATATTATATCTCTGTACTAGTTTCTAGACCAAATCTGAAATCTGGCAACCTAAGTGTGGGTCAAGTCTTTTTAGGATCTAGAGGGAAACAATTAAATCCTCTCCAATATTTAGAATTTGGACTGCAATGCCTAATTCGACCACTAGGCAACACAATTCAACACAATCCTGCATGCTGCACCTTTAAACATCATCTTTTAATGATTGTTTTGATTGTTTTTTTAGACAATACACTGAGTTCCTGGAGGACCTGGAGGAGGACGAGATGCTGAGGAAGAACATCAACATCTTCAGAGGTGAGGAGCCGGCAATATTAACCTCTCCTCTATTAATATTCTAACTGTACTCTCATGTATGATCATGACTTACTCGCTGTGCAGATGCTTCAAAGATCCCCGTGGAGGAGAGTGACACTGATGACGATGGAGCACCCAGGATCTCTCTGGCGGAGATGTTAGAGGACCTGAGCCTGAGTGACGCCACGGGTGGAGAAGGAGCAGACATGATGACAGACTAATCAACCTCAATTAAAGAGACAGTACACCCAAAGCTGAACATTCTGTCTCCATTTATGTAAACATCACTTGCTAAAACCTGTTTGAGTTTCTTTCTTTTCTTACTTTTGTTAAGAAGGTAGTTTGAAGAATGCCAGAGACCTGTAACCACTGACATCCATTGTATTTTTTGTTTCTTCTATGGAGGTCAATGGTTACAGGTTTATAGCATTCTTCAAAACGTCTTCTTTTGGGTTCAACAGAAGAAAGAAACTCAGAAATGTTTGGAAACACTTGAGGGAGAGTAAATAATGACTAAATAAATTTTTTGGGGTGAACTGTGTATTTAGCAACTAACACCATTGATCATGAAGATCACCAATCTCGGTCATGGAGGGCCCGTGTCCCTGCGGGGTTTAGCTCAACTCGCCTCAACACACCTGCCTGGATGTTTCAAGTAAACCTAGTAAGAGCTTGATTAGCTTGTTCAGGTGTGTCTGATTAGAGTTGGAGTTAAAATCTGCAGGACACCGGCCCTCCAGGAGCAAGTTTGGTTCTAGATGAATATAATGGATTCTTATTACTCTGCATTTCCTAATAATAATGCTGGTGTGATGATGCAGCTGTACATTTAATAAAATATTTAAACTCCACTACTGTCTCTGAACATTACTGTACCCTGTAATAAATTTATTACAGCTTGACCAGCCTAGCCAGGCTGGAAGCCCAGCCAAAACCAGCTATGTCCAGCTTAAACCAGGCTGGTCAAGCTGGTTTTAGCTGGTCATTTTCCAGCCTAACCAGCTAGGACCAGGCTGGAAATGGCTGGAAACCAGCCTGGAAATGGCCAAAACCCCTCTAAAACCAGCCTGGTCAACCAGCTAAAACCAGCCAACCAGTCTAGGCTGGTTTTTCAGCAGGGTGGTCACTAGTGGGCGGGGCTTTCTCCCTATGATGACACGTACAAAGAGAGAATGTCAATCAAAGTGTTTCTGCAGACTGTCTTTATCAAGTCTGAATATAAACAATACAATTAATACATACTATTAGAAGCTGGATACATTTACTCACTGCTGACACACAACTGGGTTTAAACCCTTTATAAAAGTCATTTTTGCAAAATAGATGCCCTTTTGGTCATTTTTAGCAACTGAAGTATAACAATGAAGCACCTCCAGTGAGTGCCAGTTTTATTCATCAAGCAGAAAACAAGTTCAGTTCATAAATGTCTTCAAAGCTTGTTCTCGCCAGTCAGATTTGCTCCGTACCCTTCAGTGTTTTACTCATTAAACACATTCCTTCAGGAGTTTACCTTGAGTCAACACTGATGGAGGACGGTCAGATGAATAGACAGGACACGGCGTTTTGAGTTCAGCTCTTTGTAATTTCATTTACAACAGGGGAGGACAATACATTGCAACATGCGTGATTGGGTGTGTGTAACTCAGTGGGGTTTACATTTGTTTAGTCATATCTTCTTTTTATTCAGATGAAAGTGGAGCTGCCCTGCCCTTTGGTGGAAAGCAAGGATGAATATTTGATCCAGGCCAACCGAATGTGCATGAATAACTATACACTTTCTGTCAGTATGTTCATTTCATTCATTTTAAGAGTTCCCACTTTGATATGCCTAGCGTTTATAGCATGCTGTCCCGGGAGAGAACCCTGAGCTCGGAGATACTTGAGCCCAAGGGTGTACTCACACTATGTACAGTTGCCTTAAACCGGGCCAAAGCACGCTTGTCGCCCTCCTGTCTCCCCTGACGGCCCGCAATTACATTACTTTCAGGATTGTGCACGCTTGCATCATCGATGCTGCGCTGTTCAGTAAGCGCTCTCACTCAGCCCAGTGGAGATTTCTCTAGTTATATCGGTTTAGTCGATTGATATACAGTGACACACAGTCAAATATTTGGGCGAACAGATAAGACACTTTTGACGCTCATAAAGTCCTCATGCTGCAGGAATTAGGAGGTTTGCTGAAGGTGCAGCTGTCGTGCAGTGAGGGGTTTGCGTCTTTAATAATCTATGACAGTTTGCGTTCATTTAACAGTAAGAATGGTTAATTAATTCATATGAAACAGTCCCTTAAAAGTTACGTCTCGCTTTCAGTTTACTCACCCTAACGCCCCATTCACACGGGACTTTAGCGTCAACGCTTGACTAAAGGCGTGTCTGAAGTTGGGGCTGACGTGATTGTCATAGTAATGAAAATGAAATGAAATTCAGTCAGCAATAGGCCACTGTCTGAGCTGGTGTATTTGCATACAGCGATCTGATTGGCTGACGCTTCCGTCAGCGCTTGAAAAGTTGAGCTAGTCCTAACTTCTGCAGTAAGCAACGCCTCTGAAGCAGCGCCGACATATCCACAATGCAGTTAAGTGAAATGCAGTCAAAGTGAATGGGAAGCGTTGACGCTGACGCCTCATGTGAATGGGGCGTAAGCAAACGGCGCCAAAGCTCAAGGGAACTTCGCTCAGGCACACCTCCTTTAACCGGGCCAGGGCCGGCCAAGTGAACCCTGCTTGATCCTGATTCAGAACACTCACACTTTTCAAATGATCCGGGAAACGGGCCTGGGTACGGTTTGGATAGCATAGTGTGAGTAGGCCCCAAGTCTCCTGGCCGGTCAATAAGCATATAAGGGGATCCGAGATCACGTAGGTCTCAAGAGCTCCTACTTAAAAAAAGGGAGGAAAAAGAGGAGATGGGGTGGAAGAGGGGATTCCTCCAAAACTAAAATAGAGCAGTAGGCAGAAAACGATCCATTTATTATAAGCTTGGATCAGTCTGATTGGATTAATAATGATTACAGAAGCCAGTCATGCTCAATCATATTACGTGCTCCTCTCGAAATTAGTTTGTGAAACTTCACCTGTTTTTCTTCGGCTTAGTCCCTTATTTATAAGGGGTTGCCACAACAAAATGAACCACCTACTATTCCAGCATATGTTTTACACAGTGAATGCTCATCCATCTGCAACCCAGTACTGGGAATCACCCATACACACTCATACACTACGCCCATTCAGTTAACCAATTCCTCTATAGCACAAGTGTTTGGACTGTGGGGGAAACCGGAGCACGAGGAGGAAACCCACGCCAACACGGGGAGAACATGCAAACTCCACAGAGAAACGCCATCTGACCCAACCGAGGCTCGAACCAGCAACCTTCTTGCTGTGAGGCCACAGTGCCAAAGTAGTATTGAAGTAGTAAAGTAATTAATGGAGGGCTTTTTGGACCCTGTACAGAAGTTTTTGGGGCTCTGCATGTTAACACCTAACCCTTCAAGACTCTGGAGCCAAGCACTCAATGCACCCCATTGGCTCATACACAAACTATGCCTTAAACCACACGCTGCTTAAACACAGGACTGCCCCACCCCACTATTAACTTTTCTAAACAATGTTTGAGTTTCTGTTATTAAAACAGGTATAAATGTGTGTATGTGTCCATTACAGAAGGTTACCCAGGACACGAGGCATGAACAAACTGAACTGTCATCAACTGCAGCTGGTTAGTTGGCATTCCTGCTGCAGTGGAGACAGAATGAATATTGTGTCTGACTCCATCATGAGCTTGGAGGACTGCATCCATACATCTCTGACATGACTCACATCACTGATTAATAAAGTCATCTGGAATGGCAAAGAAAGCGTTCAGCAGGACTCCCAGAGTTCATCAAGACTCATCTTCAATGCCTCCTCCTTCATCATGCTCAATAATGTTCATGTCTGGTGACTGGGCTGGCCAATCCTGGAGCAGCTTGACCTTCTCTGCTTTCAGGAGCTTTGATGTGGAGGCTGAAGTATGAGCAGGAGCGCTATCCTGCTGGAGAATTGTCCCTCTCCTGTGGTTTGTAATGTAATGGGCAGCACAGATGTCTTGACACCTCAGGCTGTTGATGTTGATCATCCACTCTGCAGATCTCTCGCATGATGAACCCCAAACCATGATTTCTCCTTCACCAAACTTGATTGATGTCTGTGAGAATCTTGGTCCATGCTGGTTCCAGTAGGTCTTCAGCAGTATTGGTGATGATTGAGATGCAGATCAGCAGATGATTCATCGTTTAGACATGATTAACTAGACGTCAAGTTAATATTTGTTGCTCTTACAACTGAGATCGAAGACAAGACTGTCAGATAGTGTATAACATTTTTTATAACTTTTAAATTTGGCATTGATCGGCAATCATTTTAAATAACTGCAGATAAAAATAAAGCAGATAAACCTAAAACCTATATTACATATCAAATCTTACACCATTAGTAATGTTATTAAAAATCTCCATCATGGTTACAACTGATTTAGCATGTAAACAGAAGCTGATAAGGACCAATTGTCATGCTTGCCCCCAGGCATTCTGTGTTTATAGCCTGTATCTATAGTATAGGGTGGACTAAACTAATTATTGAGTATGTCTCAAACAATGCTTTCTTTGTAAATGTCATTAAGCCGAGCCTGTTGGATTCAAATTCCCTTGGAGGCAGTTATGTTTTATCATAAACTCGAACACAAAGGCAGAACAATGGCGAGCCGAGCACTCCCTGGAGATAAAAGCCCGGCGGGAGTGAAGGTTTCATATTCTCAGTGCATGTAGACGCCCTCCAGCCCTGGCTGCACATGTTGACACTTAGCATTGATCATTTCCTCCATAAATCAAGGATACAGAAACATGCACTTTATAAAAGTCCAATTCACATTCAATTCACTGTCGCCTCACAGCAAGAAGGTTGCTGGTTCAAGTCCCGGCTGAGCCAGTTGGCGTTTCTGTGTGGAGTTTGCATGTTCTCCTTACATTCACGTGGGTTTCCTCCGGGTGCTCCGGTTTCCCCCACAGTCCAAACACATGCGGTACAGGTTAATTGGGTAGGCTAAATTGTCTGTAGTGTTTGAGTGTGAATGAATGTATGTGGATGTTTCCCAGTGATGGGTTGCCCTGGAAGGGCATCCGCTGCATTCATTCAGGATATGCGAGTTTGCATTATTTTCTAACAATTCAACGGCGCGCCATCAGTTATTGCTTACAGATAGTATTCGATGTATTCTAAAATAACAGACTAAGCCGAAGGAAAATGAATGAATGAATCTGAAAGAGTGAAATAAATGTAATGAAAACTATGAAATTAGTCGTTTATTTTCTGCTGCATGTTCCAACATGTCAAACGTTTTGAGTGATTCTTCTTGACTTAAACACAATGGTGTCAGGGGATATATGATATTTGCTGATTCACACAGACAAAACCCATGAGCTGTGAAAAAGAAAGTTGTGGAAGGTTTTCAGATCCGGCTGTCAGGTGTGCTGAAGTCTTTATAAGGTGAGCTGGAAAGACCGGATTGTGGATCGGTATTCGATAAGCCTTCTGGGCACCCATAAGTTGGATATGGAAAACCAGTTTGTCTACTTTCCTACTATATGATATTAAACATACATGACCAAATAGCTTGTTTTTGGCTGAAATCAGCTCACGAGCCTTAATTTTCCAAGTAGCTATTTGCAAAAGATGCAAAGTAGATTTAGGTGCAAAACTGTAATATTGCATAAAATATTTGTCTATAAAGCAGTGTTAACATCCCATGAGTGAAAGAGAACAAAATCATCACTTATAGGAACACAAAATGTTTGGCAATGGAGCAGTTTAGGGCTAGTCATCAGGTAAATTGGTATAATGATGTGATTTGGTATAAAAGCAGCATCCGAGAAAGGTCTAATCCTTTAAGAGCAAAGATAAGCTGAGGATCGCCAGTTTACCAACAAATATGTGAGAAAATGATTGAAATGTTTAAAAACAGAGAAAGAGAGGAGGACATTTGGATATTTCACCGCAGGACATCGTTAAAAGATTCAGGGAATCTGGAGGAATTTCAGTGCCTAAAGGACAAGGGCGCAAGCCTAAGCTGAACAACTGTCGAAACGTGTACTGTGCTCAGAAGAATCAGCATTTCAATACAGGACAATGCAAAACCACATTTTGCACACATTACAAAGTCTTGGCTGTGGAGGAAGAAGATACAGAAACTACACTGGCCTGTCTGCAGTCCCGACCTGTTTCCAATGGAGAATGTGTGGTGCATTTTGAATTGTCAACGAAGACCCTGTACTGTTGCCCACCTTAATGCTGTATTCAATCACAAGCGTGAGTGATTTACATGTTAAGTCAATGCAAAGACGCGAATCGACATACTTCGGCGGGATAAGCGCGAATGAGGCAGATGACGTGATTCACACAAATAAACTGGTGCGAGTTGAGAGGTTTTCACGGTTGACTCGCATATTGCACTTTTTTCATATCACTCAAGTTGGAAAATCTTAACTTCAGCGGACATTCACACTGCGTCAACCAATCACCAATTAGGGGCTTTCTCTAGTAGGGGAGTGATTATAACGTAGCGCCAGTTGTTGGTGTCCCGGGGGGAATTTCTCCTGCTGACAACAGTTCATCTAAGTGGACTCGGCTCAGTCTGAAGCACCGCAGAGAGCTGCCATCATCCAGGTATAGTTTACTACAGTTATACTCGCAGAGCTGCTACACCTCTGAATGGATCTGATAGACTCAGACACGGCTCCAAACAAAACAACGCTGTTTTTCAGCCTTCCTAAAGCACATAAACACAGCTATTCTCTTAATAAAATCCATGTTCGCCATTTCAAACGAAGCTCGAGTCACCGTGCTCAGAAGTCCTGGCCATGATGCGAATCCGCGTCAGCTGTGAAGTGGATTTGACGCACGAATGAAGCGAGTAAACTCAAAATGTTCATGCATCTATGTATAAGCGAATAGCGCAATTTATCCGCGTGCACCGCATTTGGTGTTAAAACAGCTTATGACTCTTGGGGAGTGCATTGTGTCTTGATGAATTTCTGATGAATGTATTACTCTCATTTATATGCTTATTTGAGTGATTTGAGTATTATTATTATTATTATTATTATAATTATCTATTGTATTATTGCCCACACCTTTGGCATTATTATCAGGTATGTATGCTTTGGTTAATAAAAAAGTCATTCTGTGTAAATGCAGTCAGAGATGAGAAGAGAAATTAGAAGAGCAGCATTAATGTCACAATGAGGGTAGATTTATGAATGCAAGGCCATAAGGACACTTGCGTTCTGTTCTGTAACTCATGATAAGGCACACCTGCACATGCACCCACACTCATTTGTAATGACATCTAAAAAATATGAGTACCCATGAACTTCAGCTAAATTTACAGTTGACAGCTCAGTGGACAGTGAACAAGATATATTGTTGAGCATTGTTTTTAGACTAAGTCATCGCTTTTGAAACAGGAAGGAAAGACCTTAACTGGACATGGGTAAGACCCCTGAAGAGATTCTATTGGTGGCGGGCACCTAAGAGATTTAAGATCCCATTAACGGAGAAGCTGATGGAGGTGTGTGTGTAAATTTGGGTGGAGTATTAAGACAGCCTATGTGCTAGCCTATGTTCAGCAGACACTCAAACGACCTGTCTCTGTTGTTACTGATGCTGCAACAATAAACTGCTTTGCCTAAAGACTTCAGAGATCTCAGACTGTCATTTTTTGAAATGTTTGACTTAGAGACTTCGAATATTTTGCAGACCAGAATCTTTTTTCCACAACAAGACCTGTGTGCTGGAAGAATGAGACAAAATGACACCTGAAACACTTCATCACCTGGTGTCTTCAGTTCCTAAACGTCCTTTAAGTGTTGTGAATAGGTACGGCAACATTACCAACCTTTTTATTGCACATGCTGAAATGTATTCAGCATTCTATACTTAAAAATAAGTGGAAGAAATCATTTTAGAAATAGGACAAACATATGGCGAATTCTTTTATTTCTCAAAAATACATTATACCCATGTAAAAGTTGTCATCAAATCAAGAGGAATCTCATGGCGTCACATTGACAGTTAAGAAAAATACAAAAACATCACTTAAAGCTGAAACAAACTTTGATAACCATTCATAACTCAGCAAAACAGTGCTCTAGATCAGGGGTTCCCAAACTTTTCAGCCTGTGACCCCAAAAATAATCATATCAGTGGCTCGCGACCCCCATTTTTCAAGGTGTTTGTACTGTAAATATGTAAACGTTGCAGACAACTATAGGCAAATATAAACATGAGCTTATTGACAACACAAAAATGCAACAGTCTATTAGCCAGATAATGTTTTTTAAAGTCATTTATGGATTTAATTACATTTTGCTTTGAAAATTAAAGGCTGATGGCTGATTGTTATTTTTATGTTGTTGTTTCTTTATATTCGGTCGGTTATGAATAAAATATGGTAATTTTAATAGTTTAATAACATTTATTTGAGTTTTGGATATCCCCAAGTGACCCCTTGTCATTGTCCCGTGACCCCCCAGGGGGTCCCGACCCCCACTTTGAGAACCACTGCTCTAGATTAGCTGGGAAATCTGTGAGCAGGATTTAAAATGTGTTCAGCCTCTCGGCTAACATAACTACATTCTTATTAGTAGTTGAAAACATTACAATGAACATTCAAGTGCCAATAATTTGATGAAAACCTCCAGATGTCATGCAAACAACTGATGCAACTCTATATCAGACGGCAGGAGCGATGGATGACGAGCATTCAAAGAGCTGTGATCGAGTGCAGCGCACGTTAAACCTGCTTTCAAGAGTTCACACTTAGCTTATGATTGATAAGAACGCTTGTTTGGCGTGCTGTCCCGGGAAAGAGCCCTGAGCTTATAAGATCCTCGAGCCCTGGGCTCCCTCCCGTTGCAAGGCGAGAGGGGAGTTTGAGCTCAGGTAGATCTCGATGACTCCCCCTCTTGCTTATTGTAGCTAAGTGTCAGATATGGATGCTGAGAAGGTGTACTCAGAGTTCGGCTAAAATATTTTGGATTAATTGTTTAGGGGGCTTGTTTTTGGACTGTGGGAGGAAACCGGACGACTCCCACGCGATCACGGGGAGAACGAGCAAAACTCCGCACAGAAATGTTGCCTGGTTTGGAAGGGGATTAAACCAGGGGCATTCTTGCTGTGAGGCAACAGCTCTAATCAATGGCCACCGTTTGAAAGGAGGGAAAGTAGGGTTGGGTGGGGGGGGTATCTTCAAGACGAAGATTTCGAGATGAGAGTTAAAGAACATCTAGTAGGATAATTAGCTAAAGTTGGAACAGCTAAGCACGTGATCCTCTCGAAATTCGTTTATAAATGAACTTCACCATATCTTTCAACATTCTCACTGCAGATTCGTCACATGTTGATGCTCAGGCCCTGTCCACATGAACACGGGTGTTTTCAGAGTCGCACTTTTTTATGCGGTTTCACCGTTTGTCCACACAAAAATGCAGTGTCAGGTGACTGAAGCCCAAACTTTCTGTAGAGTGTATAAAACTCTGAGTACAGTGTGGTCATGTGGATGATTCAATCGGTGTTCGCACTATGACCTCAGCGTGTGCGCTGTTTTCAACCAATCACGTCTCACTAAAGGTCCTGGTATACTTCAAACGAGGAACGTTCTTGAGGGTAAAAACAAGTCAAAATGATCGAGTGACGGTATACTGTTTTCACACACCTCCACGCTGCAGTGGGTGGGATTGTAAAAGTGTCAGCATTGAGAATGTGCTGCATCTTCATGTGCACCGGTCACACATTGCATAGATGATTATAAAATAAAGAATTATAAAAATGTATATGTAATAATAAATGCCTTGTGAGGGAAATAAAATCAGCATATCTCAGTCAGATCAAGGACTCCTAATACAGAGTCATAAGGCTTCTTTACACTGCAAAGGCGGCACAGAAACCAAACCTGAAGCGGCTACAATAAAAACAAATGTGTTTACACGAACTGTGTGAAGATGACTATGAATAACGATTTCCTTATTATCAACCAGTGATGACAAGGACATTACAGGGATCGTTCACTCAGAAATGAAACTTCTACCATCATTTACTTCACTCTTTTCTTCAGTTATACACTAAGAGAGACATTGTAAATAATCCTGGAAACCTCTGACCATTGACTTCCATGGTATTTGTTTGTCCTACTATGGAAGTCAATGGTTTTCCAGCATTCTTCACAATATCTTTAGTGTTCAACAGAAGAAAGTAAACTCTTAACGAGAAGAAACTCTTAAAGCTTTGGAACCCCTTGAGGGAAAGTAAATAGAGAGTACATTTTCATTATTTGAGTGAACTTCCCTGTTAATCTCAATATTGCCATTGAGTCAGTCTGCGGCAGACGTCCCATACGAAGCACCACCCATTAAAAATCCATTGAATAGCAAACTCCCAGGATGGAGCAGGAAGCGAGTCAAACGTGGAAGACTTGAAGGGGCTTTTGCAAAAAGACCTTTTCATTTCATCTGGCTTCTGCTTTCTTTCCTGAGTGATGGATCGAAACGCTGCCGCATCTTCAGGTCATGAGGGCCACTGTGCTTTCGGGCTGTCCTCCGACCAGCTCACAGAAGAACTCCAGCGCCAGCCGCACGTGGATGGGCACAAACACATAGGAGGTGTAAATGACCATGGCCACCATAGTGAAGAGCACGGTGTTGAAGATAGACTGCTCCCACGGCTCCAGCACATAGATCCCAGTGATGAGCAGATACTGGTAGTAGAGCCAGCTCATGTACTCTCTCATGTTCTTCATGTCCATGCGGAGGCAGAAACACCGCCGATCTGAGGGAAGACAACACTGTTAACTGAGCAAACTCACACCAGAACTAACCTATTAGAACTATCCTTTAAGAACTAACCTATTAGAACTAACCTATTAGAACTAACTTTTTAGAACTAACCTATTAAAACAAACCTTTTAGAACTAACCTATTAGAACTAGCCTATTAGAACTAACCTTTTAGAACTAACCTATTAGAACTAACCTATTAGAACAAACCGTTTAGAACTAACCTATTAGAACTAGCCTAATAGAACTATCCTTTAAGAACTAACCTATTAGAACTAACCTATTAGAACTAACTTTTTAGAACTAACCTATTAGAACTAACCTTTTAGAACTAACCTATTAGAACTAGCCTATTAGAACAAACCGTTTAGAACTAACCTATTAGAACTAGCCTATTAAAACTAACCTTTCAGAACTAACCTATTAGAACTAGCCTATTAGAACTAACCTTTTAGAACTAACCTATTAGAACAAACCGTTTAGAACTAACCTATTAGAACTAGCCTATTAGAACTAACCTTTTAGAACTAACCTATTAGAACTAGCCTATTAGAACTAACCTTTTAGAACTAACCTATTAGAACTAGCCTATTAGAACTAACCTTTTAGAACTAACCTATTAGAACTAGCCTATTAGAACTAACCTTTTAGAACTAACCTATTAGAACTAGCGTATTAGAACAAACCGTTTAGAACTAACCTATTAGAACTAGCCTATTAGAACTAACCTTTCAGAACTAACCTATTAGAACTAGCCTATTAGAACTAACCTTTTAGAACTAACCTATTAGAACTAGCCTATTAGAACAAACCGTTTAGAACTAACCTATTAGAACTAGCCTATTAGAACTAACCTTTCAGAACTAACCTATTAGAACTAGCCTATTAGAACTAACCTTTTAGAACTAACCTATTAGAACTAACCTATTAGAACAAACCGTTTAGAACTAACCTATTAGAACTAGCCTATTAGAACTAACCTTTTAGAACTAACCTATTAGAACTAGCCTATTAGAACTAACCTTTTAGAACTAACCTATTAGAACTAGCCTATTAGAACTAACCTTTTAGAACTAACCTATTAGAACTAGCCTATTAGAACTAACCTATTAGAACTAGCCTATTAGAACTAACCTATTAGAACTAACCTATTAGAACTAACCTATTAGAACTAATCTATTAGAACTAGCCTATTAGAACTAACCTTTTAGAACTAACCTATTAGAACTAGCCTATTAGAACTAACCTATTAGAACTAACCTATTAGAACTAACCTATTAGAACTAACCTTTTAGAACTAACCTATTAGAACTAACCTATTAGAACTAACCTTTTAGAACTAATTTATTAGAACTAACCTTTTAGAACTAACCTTTTAGAACTAACCTATTAGAACTAGCCTATTAGAACTAACCTTTTAGAACTAACCTATTAGAACTAGCCTATTAGAATTAATCTTTTAGAACTAACCTATTAGAACTAACCTATTAGAACTAACCTTTTAGAACTAATTTATTAGAACTAACCTTTTAGAACTAACCTATTAGAACTAACCTTTTAGAACTAATTTATTAGAACTAACCTTTTAGAACTAACTTATTAGAACTAGCCTATTAGAACTAACCTTTTAGAACTAACCTTTTAGAACTAACTTATTAGAACTAACCTTTTAGAACTAACCTATTAGAACTAACCTTTCAGATGTGACTTTTTACACCTAAAAGCTCTAAAAAGGTAGACTACTGGGATGTAAAACTACACAATAATTCATTATTTAAATATCTTAAAGTAATAGCTTTCATTATAGATCTCTGCATTCTTAAAGTGACACCTCTGTTATTTAATGTTAATCAAACCAAATATCTAAATGAGAGATTAATTTATTCCCTTCACTAAATAACTATAGCTACAATAATATATTTACATTATACAGTGAATTATTGTGTAGTTTTACATCCCAATGTTGGCAGGTACAATTATTGTGCAGCCACAATTTATACTGCCTAGGAGTGGTGTAGGTCTTTAAAGAGCCGCATGTATTTATGACATAAATGAATAACTCTATGGCATTCAAATACCTGGGGTTTAGTGACTCGTATATTGTATTATTTATTTTTAGGGCTGCAGTCTGATAATATTGATAACAATGTCATTATAGGGATGAAAATATCCTCATTTACACAACACTCCAGTGGGTGTAAACTTTTAAGAGTTTCTTTCTACCACAAAACAAGTTATTCTGTACCAATTTCCACTATTAACTACTGGCTTACCTGCCTATTATTTAGATATGAACTGTTTATGAGCACTTATAAAGTATGATCTTATTCTACATCCCTAGTCAATACCCAAACCTAAACCCAACTAATATCTTACAAACTATTAAAAAGCAAAATAATATAATAAATGAATATAATATAATAATATATAATAATAATAATAATAATAAAAAATAATAATTAATAATATTATAATTAATTAATAATTATATAATAATATATTATATATTATTATAATATAATAATGATTATAATTAGCAGCTAATTAGTAGTTTATTGAGCTTAAAGTGTTAGTGGTTTGATCATACCTTAGCAAGAATTGTACATTAAAATAAAATGTGATCAATATTATTAAAGTCAATGCTTTTTTCAGCATCATTCTTCAGAATATCTTTCTTTGTGTTCAACAGAAGAAAAACAACTCAAAACAGGCGAGTGAATTATGACAGAGTTTTCATTTCTGTGTGAACTATCCCTTTAACTGTAAAAACAAAAACAACAGCTAATAGATAGTGTTGTGTAAGTTCAGAAAAAGCTATTTATTAGTAATAACATCATTAAAAATTGGTTTTAAATGAGAGCTATTATGCAAAAGTCACTTTTATAAGGGGTTTAAACACAGTTGTGTGGCAGCAATGTGTGAATATATTATTAATTTAATGGGTTAAGCAAAATAAATTTTTTTTTCGCTTTGAAATAACATTATTTTGACATATTATTTATGGAAACAACACAATATTTGTTGCTTGTCCTGAAATTTTTAGATATTTGGAATAGAAAACAGGTGACATGGTGGCTCAGTGGCTTCGGTTTCCCCCTCAGTCCAAACATATATGCGCTGTAGGGGAATTGATTAACTAAATTGGCCGCAGTGTGTGTGAATGAGTGTGAATGGGTGTTTCCCAGTACAGTACAGTATGTTGCTTGGACCTCACAAATATAGGCTATACTTTGTCATCCCATTCATTAACTCTTGTTAATAAATTTTGAAATATAAGTTACATGTATATATGACCTATTTGTATATCTTTGAAATCTAAACATTTACTTGGATTTTAAAAATTAAATGAGAAATTAGATCTGCTTACTGTGGGTTAGAAAAGCCAGTGATTAAACTATACCTGTCAACATTGGGATAGATAAATACGGCATACTCCCCCAACAACCGTAACAAATATGGGGAGGAAATTATCTTCACATGAGCAAATACATTAGAAAATTTAAAATAAAATAAAAGGTTTAGCCTATTAAAATCAGTTTAATGATCACAGCGGTGTTATCGTACACATTAAAGGGTTAAAATTGTGTTTTTTCTTTAATTATTCAGCGATTCCTCCGTGTACCACTAGAAGGAAGCCTGCGTACCACTGGAGGTACACGAGAACCACTGAGTTAGAGCATTAATAAATGCTGTCTCAACTGTACCATGGTACTGTTTCAACTGTGCTCAATAAAGGACAAAAATCCACCCCTGCTGAAAAATCCAGCTTAAACCAGCCTAGGCTGGTTTAAGCTGGATTTTTCAGCAGGGACCTTATGTTTATGGTTCTGGTAAATATAAACTACTTATGGTTATTATTAATTTGTGATATTTTATGACACAATCAAAAGAAATCTCATGTGGAAATCCACTTAAATTCAGCAGTTTTTGTGTAGTGATTAAAAATAAATCAACAAAGTGTCTCTACTCAATGTACAACATTGCTCACAGTCAATTAAATAGTGCTAATGTTGTTTTAAAGTCATGCTTAATGCGATTTCAGACCCATTATTCAAAATACAGCGTAATAAACAATACACGGACCCTTAAGATGAAGAAATATATACAGATATAAAACCGACTTTACCTTAAAGTCCTCCAGATGTAAACACAAACGTCAAATAGCCTAGATGTCTCCGCGATGCTATCATGGGTCGTTTAGTCTTACAGTTGTGTTGAAGCTGGATGATAAATGAAAACTCCTGCGCTGTCAGGTCCGCAGGGGGTAACAGAGTAAATAGTAACTCACCTCCGCGGCGAAGCTGCAGTGTGGAGTGGACGCGATGACAGTGGAGCCCGCTGCAAAGCTGCTCTACCAGTTATAAACACAGCAATCACCACTCCCACATCTCGGGTTTACTTATGAGTGGCGAAAGAAAGGATCAAACGTGTTTTAAAAGCCTTTTCCTAACATGTGGTGCAGCGTCTCTCTCTCTCTCTCTCTCTCTCTCTCTCTCTCTCTCTCTCTCTCTCTCTCTCTCTCTGCGGTAATGATGCTGCAGAACGGTACTCCGTGACGTCACCTGCCGCAGGGATGTTTTGGGTCACCCCTACTTAGTAATAACTAGTAATTATCACTCAGACTTTGCTCACAAATCTGAAGAGTCTATTTACATTTTTTAAATTTTTCATTATTAGGAAATTCTGTTATACAGTGCTCAGCATAACTGAGGACACCCCATTATTAAAAATGAATATTTGTATCGATTTCTCAGTGAATATAGGCAATGTATTTTGGTGTATTTAAACAGATTTATTAAACAGATATATTTATTAAAATAATATTTTAGTCACCAAACATATTTAGAAATCATCACCTTAGAACTGTATGGTTCTATCTGACATTTTTGTCAAAATTGAGTTGACATATTCTTATTACATGACAACTTATTTACATTATGGGATATTTTTTTATAAGTTGTTTACATTTTAAAACTTTTTATTTAATAAACAAGTTACACACATACTGTTTGCTATGGAATGCAAAAGCTTTGAAGCTCAATATCTCAACATCAATCAGAACGCAGATAGAACCTTATAATTTCAAGGTGACCAAATAGAAAGATAATACAATTAAATTCAAGCAAAATATTGCAAAAAAATAAAAGAATAAAAAATTACAACCTAGAAAATTTCAACACATTTTTTCTTGATTTTTCCTCTTTTTTTAAATTTGTATTTAATATTTTTTTATAACATAAATTAGGGTGTTCTCGCTTTTGGACTGTTATTGTAAGTTATTTTGTTAAATAAGCTCCAGATTTGGCTTTGGTATTGACTAATCTAATGTATATTAAGATAATATTGTAGAACTTCTTATAGAAAATATGAATTTAAAAGAGAGATTTGCGAGAGGTGAACTCATATATGCTGAGCATTGTACATAAACAAAAATGCACGACTTTGATCCCAAATCTTTCCATATGTGTAACAACAACGACGACAACAAAAACATGTCAGATTTTTGGTACTGTATATAAAGAATCTCTGTTATCTATTGACTTAGATTTAGATAGCTTTCTTGCAATGCTCTTAATTAATTAATTTATTTATTTTCGTAAACTGCTATAGCCTACTATTGTATTTTATCTACCCCTTCCTTTGTTGTGTTTTGTTATTTTCTCTCTCTCTCTGTGAAATGGAGTGAATGTAACTTTTATTTTCATTCTTTAATATTGATCTGCTGATTGTGTTTGTATATTTTCATTCATTTTCCTTCGGCTTAGTTCCTTTATTCATCTAAGGGTTGCCACAGCAGAATGAACCACCAACTATTTCAGCATATGTTTTTTTCCAATTATTATTATTTTTTTTTTTTCAACTTTAAATGATAGGATAGCAGAGGACAGACAGGAAATCATTGGGAGCTGAGAGAGGGGAAGGGTCAGCATAGGACCTCAAGCCAGGAATCAAACACTTAACCACTAGGCTACTGGCACCAACATCCAGCATATGTTTTAAACAGCGCATGCGCTTCCAGCAGCAACCCAGTACTGGGAAACATCCATAAACTCTCATTCACACACTATGGTTAATCATATGTTTGGACAGTGGGGGAAACCGGAGCACCCAAAGGAAACCAACACGAGGAGAACATGCAAACTCCACACAGAAACGCCAACTGACCCAACTGGGACTCAAACCACTGAGCCGCCATGCAGCCCCTATGCACACTTTGCATTTAAAAAAAATTCTTGTTAAAAGTGCAATTGGATTGAGTGTGGCACCAAGAGAAAAACACGCTTCTGTTTGCTACGTGCTCGAAGAAAAGCAGAAAATGTGCTGATACACACAGACAAGATCCTGCAGCATAAAGAAAAGCATGACCCGTGAAAAGCAAACAAAGTCACGGAAAGAATTCAGATCCTGCTGGAGTCTTTGTGGGAAAAACCGGATTGTTAGCATTAGATAATAAAATCCATAACTTGGACTTGGGAAACAGGTTTGTCCGCTTCTCTGCTTTACAAGCATGCTATTCCTCCCCAAATATGATGCTTTTTGGAGACACAATTGCATTATTTGCATGTGTAATCAAGCGTGTGTAAGCATTGTGGGCACACCTTTACATTCATTCATTTTCTTGTCGGCTTATTTCCTTTATTAATCCGGGGTCGCCACAGCGGAATGAACCGCCAACTTATCCAGCAAGCTTTTACGCAGCGGATGCCCTTCCAGCCGCAACCCATCTCTGGGAAACACACACATTCACACACACTCTCATACACTACGGATAATTTAGCCTACCCAATTCACCTGTACTGCATGTCTTTGGACTGTGGGGGAAACCGGAGCAAACCCACGCGAACGCAAGGAGAACATGCAAACTCCACACAGAAACGCCAACTGAGCCGAGGTTCGACGCAGTGACCTTCTTGCTGTGAGGCGACAGCACTACCTACTGCGCCACTGTCTCGCCCACCCACTTTACAATAAGGTTTTATTAGTTAATGTGTTTATTTATTCACATGAACTAATTATGAACAATACTTGCAATAAACTAATAAATCATGTGATATTTCTGTAAGTACCAGAATATGCGAAAAAAGCTAGTTAGTTTTTTTTTTAAAGTGCTCTTTTTACCGTGATGTGTGGATGTTTTTACCTCTAGGTGTCGCTCATTCACCGGCTATAATGCCTGAAAGACTGTTCAAAAAGTGGTGCAAAAGCTTGGATAGGATAAGGGTTGCCAGTTTTCTCAACAAAACTAGCCCATTATTATCAAACATGCCAACAACCATCACTGTATGACAATAAATAGTTTCCTCTTTAAACATAACTGTATATTAGTAACTATAAAGATTTTGTTATCATAAACAAAAATAGCCGCTATAATGAGAGCCCCCATGTCTCACAAAAGTGTGCTTACTCTTTTCCATCAATCATTCTAGCAGTTTTTGATTGGATTATAAATTAGGTAGACTCAAAGACTGCAAGCCAACTGTGTACATAAAACTGATGCAATTTGTCAAACCTTTGTCTAAATTTGTCTAACACACAGAAAAATAATCCAGCAACAAACTAAAAATGTATCTCAACACTTGGCAACCCTGGATATGATGTGGGTGGATACAGACAGGCAGTGAACTGAGATATATCTACCTACAGGTCCACAAACCTACACGTTTCAGACCACCTGACCCAGACCACCAGATCTAGACTACCACATCCAGGCCACCCGATCCAGACTGCCAGTTCCAGACCAATAGATCCAGACCACTAGATCTAGAACTCCAGACCACTATTTTTGCAAACTATTTAGGATAGATAGTAGCGTATGTGAATTGGGACACAGATTGTCTTTAAAGGCTATTGCTTAAAAAAGTTTGAGGAAAGTAGTAAATTGAACCCATGTTGTTGGATGTAACATTAAAACAAGTGTAAAAAGCGAAGCACTGCTTTCTGTTGTATAATGTATGTGGGAAAGCAGAGGGGGACTCAATGATAAGAGGATTTTCATTTTTGGGCTGCGTATCCCTTTAGTGATGTAGGCGTGCTGAGTTACTAGACCGTCTCATTCTAACCTTTAATACTGAGGAGGACTCTAGTCTAGAAGCCTCCGAGGGACTGGTTTTAGGAGGACGCAGCCTCACTTGGGATGTGGTCTTTCATTTGAGAAGCACCCTGTCTTTATGAATGGACCATTATTAAACAGATCTGCTTGCTTTGTTCCGCAATGAATTAACTGTGTTCATTAAATTGATTGAGTTAAGGATTCATCCACTCATCTGCCGACGGATTTAGTTTCACGTTTAATTCCTGCTAAATGGATTAGATTTGTGAATTTTTATATTTGCATGTATTTCTATAATCTCCTGGCATTACACGTACATTTAGAGCTGCAGTGTAAAAACACTGACTCATGATTTAATTTACTTTAATTGTAATTCTGAGTATTTTATTCTACTAGTTTACATTATTTTAAAGAACCTGACATAAAATATGATGCATATACAGTATTTATTAATAGGCTAGTTAAGGTAGAAAAAGGTCTAGAAGTGTACAAACATTGGCCATTAAGGGTAAACTAAATATCCGTCACTTCACTGTAAGCCTCGGACAGGTGGCCTATGATCCCACAGGGAACACTCTTAATCCCAATAGTTGACTTTACTCTAATCTTCTTTGGTCCGGAGCACACAGAGTCCATTTCTCCCTAAAAAATACCTAAAATACTGATTAATCTGACCCCAGTACACGTCTCCACTGTGTTATGGTCCATCCCAGGGGCCTCATGTATCAACGCTGCGTACGCACAAAAACTTTGCGTACGCCAGGTTTCACGCTCAGAATCGCTCACGTTTGGATTTACTAACAATGAACTGAACGTGGGAATGTGCGCAAGTTCACGGCAGCTTTCTGGCAGGCGTACGCACATTTTTTGTGCGTGTCTGTTTTATTTCTATTGGCGACTCCTAGAGGCAGTTGTGTTAAATTCTTCTCTACAAAGTGTCTGAGCCTTGCAATGGCAGCTGTATGAGACGGGTTCATATAGTAGGTATGTAAGATTTCCATACCATACAGTTGACCAGCTAAACATTAAAGCACAATTTGCAGCGGTCGCCTGTTTTCCCAATGTAATCTGAGCAATCTACCGCACGCACATTGCTATAAAGACACTATGTGAAGATGAATTTGCATGCGTGAATCAGAAACATTTCCATTCAATAAATGTGCAAATAAAATATGTTGCACAAACTTATTAATGATTCCTACTTGTCTTTCTCGTGATAAATAGTGGGCAAAATCTGATATGTAGCGGGAAAAAAAGAAGAAAGAATTCATCAGACCCTGGATTCGAGGCGAGTTCACGCTCGAACGTGTCAGTATATGATCACATGCTTCTTATGAGGTGCG